ATCTCGAAGAGTCTCGTGTCGATCTTTTAACTATTCACTTTCATAAAAAAATATCAAAATAATCATTGTATTATAATATGACTTATTGAAACTAAAATCTGTCTATATTGGTTTATTTTTTTACCATTTATTCATCTAGTTTTAATATTTACTTTGTGAGTATAACAATAACGAGATAAAACAATAGTATTTTTTAATTTTTAATGCAGTTCCAAATTCGTAGAATTTACATCGGTATGTCAAACAAGTGGCGATACAATGAGAGATAAAGAAAGAGAGTGACACAAGTCTGGTATTCTAGAATTTAATCTCTCGGTATTCTGACAAGCTGCGGCTTCTGTAATGAAAGCGTGCATTGCCTGCAGGGAAACTTGAATAAGGCAAAAGACGAGGAGAACTACTCGACGAAAGACATTATATTATATAAGAAGAGACTGTCATAATTTCAAGTCGGAACCATTGAAGCCTCTTTCGCACTGACTCGAATTTCATTGACTTTATGATGACGACAGTCGCGCGACCTTTTGTGATCTTTTGACATGTATTAAATTGAGTTATGACTTTAGTTTCAAGCTTTGAAGTGTACCTATTTTTATCTTAAGAAGATAATTACACATTTATAATTGGAAGGAATATTTATGTATCTATAAATATTCAGTTTTTGGCGGTATTTTTGATACACTGTTAGAAATGTAACCACGAGCTTCAATCACATGTAAATGAAGCTCGTAATTATGAACAAAAATAAAAGTAATGAACGATTTAATTGAAAATTAAGTTACAGTAGTTACTTAAATGTAATGAACATGTACATTAAATTTATGAAAAATACATTAAATTTCATATATACATGTATACAAATATACTTTTCAGTTATAAATACCTACATTAAATTTAATGTAATGTGTCATGAAATTAAGTTCAAATTGTGTAACTTAAAAGTATATTAAATTTCATGAAATTTTTAACAGTACATGGAAAAAATTTTATATTTAAAATTATTATAATGTGGTAGTAGCTGCGGTCTTCATGTAAATTATAAGTTTAAATGCTATAGTTATTTTTTAAAAACAATAATATAACGTAATTTTTACACTTTTTCATAGTAAAAATTTTTTATTACAAAATCAAATATACCTAGCAAATTTTGTTTGCGTACCATAGTAAAAATTAACTGTTTTCATGTTAGAATATAGCTTAACAAAATAATTGCTTTATTTATGTGATAAAAATTAGTATTACCATAGTAAAAGTTAAGTCGTAATCATGTTGTGAGAGTCCATCGAAAATACAAGGCATAGTAAAGTATAATTTAAAATTGTATTAAAACTTAATATAAAATTTTCTCCGTGTATAGGTACACAAATATCTCTGAAGCATCTTTAATTTTCAGTACAATTTCTGATAAAGCGTATATATTTTGAAGATAAGAATTCTTTAAAATTACTTTACATAAAAAAAACCTTTCAGCTAAAGCTGTTTATATTCCGACAAATTAAGATTTTTTTCAAAAGAAAATCTTTGCTTACGTAAATGTTAATCAAGAAACAGCTTATATACTTTTATTGCTTCTCCGGTATTTTTATCAATATCTTCATATCCTCATAATTCTCACCTTTCAAAACTCTTGTATATACGTAGACAGCTCTTGTAATTGTACACCACGACTATAGAGGAAATCGGATACCGACTCGATCAATTTCTATTGAAGGGACAGCGCTCTTTGAAGAACATACAAAGTTTTCGAATATATTTCATGTATATTACACCGGTTGATTGTGCGCTGATACATCAAACGATGCTTTACCATAGTGTCTTCACGTATTTCCGATTAAGTATCTTCTCGAAAATTCGTTTGTCTCTGATACGTTGATCGATTTATTATTGCGATGTGAATAGACTGCAAAAAATTTCAACGGATGCAAAACTTTTAAGATATGACAAAATCGTAATTTGTAAAATTGCTGATAATATATGTATGATTTATGCGTGAATTGAGAGGAAACTAGAGTAGGGGGGTAATATACACATTCATTAACAAAAATTAGCCTTTCGGTGCCACACTAGGAGAATAACACTTGCATCTGATATATCCAACTAATTCCATTGTTTATAACTTTTACAAGAGGGAATATATTGTAAAAAAGAGAATGTGAGGTTTCCGGATATTAGAAGCAACAGTGGGGTTTTATTTTTGGTATCGTTTTATCTCGTTTGAGAAATAGCGATGGAAACTCGGCGGTGCTCATTGCAGGAGTGCGCGTCAGATGCAGGTTGATCCACCCGTAGGTGAAAAGCTCGGCTTTGATGCGCTCCAGCGAACCGAAAGTTCTGCGAGTGCAAGCTCAACGAACCGCAAGAACTGACGATTTTTCGCGCACGCGGTTAAACCTCGCACATTTTTTGCCCTCTTTCTGTGCCTCACGTATCTTCTATCATTTTTCCCAAATTTCTTTCGTAACTGTCTCGCCTCTTCTCAAATTGTCAAGACTGATGACAAAATTGTTTTGTGTGTCGACATACGGAAATATATTGCTCTTTTATGCGAAAATTTTAGAAGCATTTTGGTAGCTTCAAAGAAAATTGTTATCGAGATGAGAACATAACTTTAGACACGTTGACATATTATATATATATATATATATATATATATATATATATATGTTATATATACGATTCTCGAAAATAAGATGTCGTATTCCTGGTACTAAAATATCGCGGTTAGTATTCTAGAAGAGGAACATCTCTCGTATTTATTCATGATATTTGTTTCTCACAATTGATACGACTCATGCTCCAATTTCCCTGTGGAAATTTGAGCATCCTTTCAAGGATGCTAAGCTCGAGTTTAATACATTTAAGCTTGAATAAGACTGTATAAATATACGATGTATATGAATATAACACAACCTTATTATTAATTTTGTCGTTTAATTTTACCAACTGATGAGAATTCGTGAAAATCGACGAAGTTTACATTTTATTCAAGGTTGGCCAATCTTTAACACTTTAATGTAAGAATAATATGCGGATGTGACGCATGCAATGTATCAACAGTTTACGTCAACCGTTTGATACATGACGCGATACATATATTACGAAACTCGTCTATCGACGAAATCCCGTTGACACAGTTGTTCGTAACCGCGTTACTCTCGCGATCATCCTATCTCGGACAATGCAGGCGGCATTTGGAACGTCGCGTGCGACTCCGAAGCTACGTCGCCGCAGGAATACGCGGGCGAGTATATTGCGCAGTGCATTGTCGTCGCTTCGTGTCGCGGTGAGATAAATGTAACTCCGGCGTCCTGAGAATGGCAAACAATAGGAAAAAAAATAAAGAAAACAATAGAATGGGAGAAATGAGATGACCTTTAGAGAAAGAGCTGACTAGATCACTATGGTGTTCGCTGTATTTGCTCTCGCGTAGCGGCGCTCGTATCTCGTATCGGTTAGTCCCGCAAGATTCAATAATTTAAGCAGTAATGGCCTGGCCATCGATCGATGCTTGGCTGGAGTTTAAAATATCTCGCGTTGCCCGCTCTTGCGATTTCTCAGTGCTTATTTTTCCTTCCCGTCGCTTCTGTATATTGCGAAGTGTTCCGTACCGCAACAGCGATGTTTGTCGAGAACATTACCTCAGCAAATGAATGTTTATTGACGGGATCGTTATTCAGTTTGTAACGGAGCTATTATTTATTAGAGGAAAACGATGTTTTCACGAATCGGTTGCATTGTACATAGATAATAGCAAATTTTCGGATAAATTTCTTCTCAGATCGATCGTAAAACGGCTAGTGACCTAAAAGACTTCTTTGACGAAAGGAAACAAATATCTTCAACGTAGAGGCGACGTCAAATAACTCAATGTAATTTCTACCTTTAACGTTAGCGAGGGTAAAAGTGCAATTATTTAGACACAAATCTCTGCCGCCTTGGTACATATCGATCGACTTCGGCTATGTGGTTAAAAATATCTATTCGCATGCCGGGATGCATTATGGCAGTTTAGGCCGTCCTCCTTGAACTTCCTTTTTCGCCCCTTTCCTTAAGCAAATGCAGGACGATGGTGTCGAAGGTCGGAATTAATCAATGGACGGTTTATTGCCAAAAGTACAATATTCCATGTTTGTATTAAATGTAAAAATGCAGGATATCGATGAAACGATCAATCATGTCTTATTGCTTTGATATTCTATTTGTCTGGGTCTTGTTCTTAATTTATGATAAAGTAATGATTTGATAATTTAATTTTATAGTATATGGAGGACGATCTAAGTCTTTGTAATCTGTAGAAGCAAGTTAGACTGATTACATTTATACGAAACTGGGCCAGGTGCAGATTAATTATGTATTATACCCGTAACATTGATCGAGGTATTAATTGAAATTATTGTCCAAATGTGCATACACATGCATCTATTTCTGAAGGACCATCTGGAGACGTATTTGTCAATTTCCCGACATGCGTCGTCATTTCACAAAAGCGGGACCTACATAGTTCATCTCATAGTGGAAATAATATACTTCCACCATGGTTCATCTCTTCTACTGTCACAATACGACGCGTACTTTATCCATCGTATTATGCATGCGTCTGTAGACGTATGCTCGCTCAAATACATCTGCATTTATATCGCACGTTTGCGTAAGCGGGTGCATCGTCATTGTATATTATCCCGTCCTCGAAACGGAGGCACTTTTTTCAGTTAGCTATTAAGTGAGTCGATGAGTGATATTATCAACGATGCAAAACGTTGCAAAAACACATACATAAAGAGTTCGAGTAGCGATATTACAGCTGTTCTAAATATAAGAGTACACATGACGTAAATGGAATATATAAAACTTTTTCATGTCGCGATAATCATCATTCGAGATAGCTAAGTAAACTGTAAAGTTACAGTTATGTAATATCAGTACTTTCTTGAGGTTAGAAAGTTTTGATTGAAATTTTTCGAGTTTTATTTTTCTAGAAGAAGCAATTTGAAGTTACTTACCGCGGAATGTCGCCGATTCGTGGTGGCCGATACTTTCGCGGACTACCCACGTCGCTCCATACGTTACAAGCTGGAATATTAAAAATGTATTTGAGTTAACACGATAATGCATAAAGTTATTGCGCAAAATATCGAACGTTTATATAAAGAAATAAACCAGTTAATATTGCACATTCAACATTAAATATTGTTAAATATCAAAATTACACACTAAAAAACATTTCATATTTCTGTTGAAAACGACCCACTCAAGTCCTTATTAAGCTTTTACGTTGAATATTTAAACGTATTCGAGTATTAATTAAACATAATGTGATTATGTTATTTGTGGAAGCTAGAACTCGACTTGGGTTGTAGCACCATTGGATAGCTGGATTATGTTATTTAAATAATTTATGTTAAATTAATGTTCAACATTTCTTAATGTTAAAATATCGCAATTTATGAGTAAGTGAACAAATAACATAAAAACAATATGTTTTTAAAACGTAAAATCTAAGATGCATGAATAAAATGTGTTAATTTTACTGAAAAATGTAATTTTACTGAAAAATGTACTTGAAACTCTGCTGAGGATGGCTCGAATTGAGCCAAAATGTTCAGTTTTTATAGTTATGTAAGATATACAATTGAAATATATGTTTATAAGATAATCGCACCAATTATCGCATGTAAAGACTCTTAATTGCTCGTTTTTTACTTTATTTATTATTTGTTTAATATCACAAAAAAAAGAGTTTAATTCTAATTATTCACTTTTTGAAAAATATACCTCTACCGTTTATTTACAAACTGTCAGTATTATCTTTTTGTGTTTATCTTCTTACATAATATTTATGTTACCTTCTAACATATTCATCTTGTGTTGAATTAACATGTAAATTTGAGTGGATGGTTTGAAACACGTGAAACATGTTAAATTTACACAAATTTTCCAAATGTGTAAGAAATTATGTAATATTCCTGAAAATATATTAAATAGTCGTTTGCTTTTTTTTCTGCATTTTTCTCTTCTGAAAATCTTTCCTAATTATTATTCGATTCGGAGCAGTTTTACTGAAATAGATTACTTTACAGTTTTAAATAAACTTTAATCTCGCAATTTTTCTTTTTTTTTTTTGGTAGAATCAATTGGTTTCCAACTATCAAAAAATAGTGAATATCTACGTGAAAAAGGGAATATCCATCATAAATCGCATACGCGATAGATATAATTCGTGACGAGAAGGATTTGCGTGTATCGAGGGAACTATATAGGCTGGTGAGAGTATCTCGTGCGGGCTCGCGTCTTTCCTCCGTCCGTAATAATGAAATTATGCGGCTCAATTTCACGAGATGGGCACATTTCCACGCTTGCCTTCTATAATTCAACTCCTCTTCCAGACATTGAGCACAATTGCGTCCCATTTTATCCATTGCTTTCTCATTTCTACACGTATCACGATAGATTTCGATAATTGAAGCGCATACACTTTTACAAATTCAATAAGTTATTAGAGAAACGAACCTATATTTATTTTATTAGTATTAGATGCAAATTTTATCAGCGATGAACTTCATAATTACATTAAATATAAAAAAAATTTAATTAAAAAAAGTTTTTTAATATAATATTTATCAATTTATTGCTCTTAATGTTTCAATTATTGTTTGTTTCTCGGAAAGCTAATATAATATATGAAACGGGTGATACCGATGAAATTGAGTTTATTGTCAGTTGTTGAGTTTATCATTTTATATGTCCGGTTTATGACTTCATGTCGATGTGAAGATCGTTTGATTGCTGAGTGTACTTTCTCTCTCTCTCTCCCTCTCTCACAAGATTATAACTGAATAATACTCTCGCAAAACACACTCATTTCTAGCATTTTCAAAATTTTTTCTGTCAATGAATTTATCTTCGAGTTAAAAAATAAGCAATTTTGAAATTATATTTTATACTGTATTATAAAACAAGAAATTATTTATCTCGTGTATGTGACTAGTAAAGTTACTCCAAAAATTCATATAGTAGAATTTTCAAGAGTCTTTACATTTTTCTCAATATAGTTTTTAATGTGCATTAATGACAGATTTACCTTATTATACTTATATTGTTTACAAAATATAAATATAATATTTCTAGAATTGTGACTGATATTTCCAGCCGCTCGTGAAATAAACAATCTTGTAACTTGTAGAGTTCTTTATGAGCAAATGAGTAGGTGTAATATTGAAAGAATCATAGAAGAAAGTAAGCACGGCAAGTTTAATCGCAGCTCTAAGAATACCGCGCTGTAACGGATATTAAAGGTTCACCCTGTTACACGAGCGACATTTGCTAATTATAAAGTTCTGCTTTTACAAAGTCATGAAGTGATATCGATTATGCAGGCGTAATCGAGTATGCAACCGAACGATTTAATCCTTGCAATGCCGTAATTCCTCTCTCAAACGCTAGAGATACGTTATTAAAATATTTAAATAATTTTCCTATTTTTAAAGTTTTTATTACTTTTAAAATACAATGCACGCGTTTTTATAAATTATCGTTTTTAAAAAACAATTTTTACATTTACTGTTTGTATCCGATCCGCTGCACGTGTGCGTTACGATTAAAAAGTACTGCGTCGTTAAACTCGTAGTTTAATATACTGCATGAGAGAGAACATATATATTTGTTAAATATTTAATTAAAATAGAATTTATAAACATACGACTCATATGTTTGTGATGACCATTGATTAATGAGTGGAAGTTGACGTTGAATTTACTACAAATATCCTTTTCATTACTTCATATAAATTATGTATATATTGCATATGATTTTAATTACATTAATTCATGATGTATTACACAAGCGATTAAAATGCGCACGTGGCACGTGCATTTGATAACAGCAAATTTCTGCCTTTTACAAATAGGGCAACTTTCTGCAATTGCCCTGTGGCGCACGTTGAACGATCATTAATTTTTTAATGTTAGATAACCTCGCTATAGTTTTTACGCTGCCACTACTTTTCCAATAAATTTTTGTAACGTGAATGTTAAACGCACTATATTGTTCTTTGAGATGCAAATAAGTTTTTTAAAAAAAATGCCAATTTTCAATTCTTTCTCGAATAGAAATATAAAAATAAAATCGAAAATATAAAGCATTTTATAACTATCGAAATACATTGGTTGACCTGCATTCAATGTTGATAGCGCGAGAATAACATGTTAATTGCAAGATTGACATTGAAATTTTATCACTACGATAAACCTGAATACGGAAATTCTCTTTTTTTATTGAAGTGGCGACGCGACAGCTTGACGAATGAATTTGCGGACTACCAGCAATTTCGTATTCAGTAATTTTTCTCGCATCACAGCTTGCATTTTCCTTAAATTTGCGCACATTATTACAGATATTTCACTCATTCTATTAATGCAATTAAAAAAGCCCTTATTTCCTTCAACAATCTGTATGAATTCATCGAAATGTATCACGTTATGTTAATTTCAACATTTGCATATGAATCTGACAAAAAATTGAAACGCTTATTTAACGAATTTAATGAAACAGTTCGTTGTGTGTTACAATTTAAATCTTTTTAAATTTAAACTAAATTTGCAGACTCTCTCTCTCTCTCTCTCTCTCTAAAAATAATCTTAAAAATGCTTTATATTATTTGAATTAAAAATTATGTCCATATATCTTTATTAGAATATCATTATTGCACAGCAATGTACGATATAAACAACAAAAAACTCCCCCGGTAATTAATACGCAATCTTAAATCCTCATTCTAAAAAATAGAATCTTTATTTCAAAAAAAGGTACGTTTCAGTTTTTTTCGAGTTTTTTGTTGTTGAATTTGGGAGAGTTCGTAAAAAGATTACATTATTACTGTACGATATAAAATTACATGATTATATGTTTTTTATGTATAAAAATATAAGATAAGAATAATGGCGTCTTTTCAGAAATTTGGTGAGATCTTGATGTAACTGCATCATTTCACAAACATTTTAATTCTCTGGTTCTCGTCCGTTTGGAATTATAAAATTGTATAATTGAGCGATAATTAATTGCTAGTAGGTAGAACTCATGTAATTTTGATTCATCGATGCAATGCATAGCATATATATGTGCTAACGAAATTTTCTGCAACGCTCTTCCCACTTACTGTATCAATGCAATTATTACATGAATTTAATTTACTATATGAATGCTCTTTCAATCAGTAAAATTATAATAATTGAATTATTACGGGCTAAATAAAATTAAATTTAATCAAATAACATAATAAACTACATAGTAAACAGAAATATTCACAAATGAGAAATAATATTTTTATAATATTTCGATGTTAATATAAATCATATTGCATCATATATTTTGTAATTAATTATTTTACATCGAAATTATTTTTATCACTTGTCACGAATAAAAAGCAAAAAAGATTATACAACTTTGCAAATTATAAAATTTTATAACTCTTTCTATAACTTACTTTCTCTAGCTTTACATGTTACGCTATATTGTTTTATTTTAAATAATACTGATGAATGCTTTATTTTATCGAATAAGGAATATATGTGTAATAGGTTGTTTTCTATAGTTGACACACCACATATGTTGAGAAAACTTTGTTACTGTCTGCATTGACTAATAATTAGGCGATAATTAATTGTTAATTTGAAAATGAAAGCTTGACGCGCGGTTCTCGTTTTGTATGGAGATACCGAGACGGGATAATTAATGATAAAAGATAATACATGACTATTTTTGAATTATCCGAAATAATTAAGTTCTTCATGAAATTAAAAACCAAATGTATTTTATATTTTTATCTCTCTCTTTCTCTCTCTTACATTTGTAAAAACAATGTATTGTTATAAATTTTTCAAAAAAATAAACAATTAAGTTTAAATATTGAAGTTATAAGTGTTCGTAAATTACATAAATTGCTTTTACGATGTCTTATAACATTTATAATATTATAACACAAAGATAACTTAACATTCATAAATCTTTGTAATATCTTGTTTGGTTATTCTTTTCTTACAAAATGCATTGAAGCAGCATTAATTTTATATATGCAT